ATGAAGGGGACTGCGAAAGGTTGTAGGTTGCTGTGGGAGACGCGCATATACACAGGCGTGTTGTATGTTCCGTGTCTGCGGGGTTCACAGGAGAGAGTGAGGAGAGGAAACCCTCCATCGTGAGGGATATACCATCGGCTATTACCATTTCCTACTACTAGTAAATAGTAACCTTCCGGAGTAGGAAACTTACTACTACTGTGTAGACCACCTCTTTCGTGAGGTACAAAATAATCAACAAGCAGGCTCCAAAATACTCCGGCCTGATCATATGCTGATTTGATTGCTCATCCTTCCTGACGGTCGGTGAGTCACTGTCCCTCTGAGCCTAGAAGGAATCGCAACAGCCTCAAAGTTGGAAGTTGCACCTGATCCGAGAAACCAGTAGGAATCGCAATCACTGTAAGGTGCCTCTTCTCAGGCATCGACCTTACGTAGACCAGCCTGTTGTTCTAGCAACCGCGGAATGTAGGCATGGAATGTTGCTTTACTCAGCCACCTGATGATGCTGATGCTGCTGCTGATGATAATGACGATAAGTGAGGATGTGTATTATTATTATGATGATGATGATGATGATGATGATGATGATGATGATGATGTAGGTGCAATGTCCCTGTCCTGTCCTGTCCTGTCCTGTGTTCTGCATGTGTGGTGACTTACAGTGTACAGATAGATAGGTAGTAGCAGTAGTAGTAGTCTCTCTCCCTGTGTCTGCCTATTGTGTCATTGCGCTTATACTTTGGAGTTCAAAATGAGGCTGTCCGCCTCTCGGATTGGCTCTCCTCTGAGGGTTGGTGGGTGGCATGGGACTCCGCCTTGACAGGAAAGTCCAAAGCCTGGCTGGCCCTCTCGAGGGTGACTGATTGACTGACTGACGGCATTGCCACTGTCGCTCCTGCTGCATCTGTGCTTCTCTAGTCGCATACATACATGGTAGTCATAGCAAGTAAAAAAATAACTGATGATGCCTATCTAATTTACTTAGTTGCTTCCTTCCCTTGTTCCTTTCCCAGGCCAGGTTCCATCTCTCACTGGCTATAAATAATCATCCCAGATGATTATATCACTCGCCTCCTGCAATAAGCCAAGCCACAGACCGACTAGTCCCATGTACCACTTAGACACGTTTTTCTCCCCTTACCCTTTTTTTTATTTCCCCTCTTGAATCTTTTTTTTTTTTTTTTTTTTCTAAATTAGCACGGGGGCGCACGTCCCACCTATTTGTCGAAGCAGTTCGAGGTCCTCCCACTAGCGCTGTCCACCCACAGTTGAAAGTGTTCAGAGCACTACGTACCATTACGGAGTAAGACACCGCCTGTCACTTTCAATCCTACTACTAAGTTGTACTTGCTGTTATTTTTCTCCTCAACTTACAACTAAATTTGATCATCATCAAATCAGTCAGTCAGTCATGTCCACTTTCAACCTTTCTGTGTGACGCCTTGGGCTTCTTGCAGTTGCATTTGCCTCCACCCCCAATCCCCATTCATTCCTCTTGTCCTGCTGAACGATAGGCAAATCGCAGCTTTCGCACTGCCTCCTGTTCCACTCCCCTATTTGCCCACAGGCTGCAGCCAATGAAGGGAATGACGATTGCCTGCCGGGGATTGATTGGGTCAATTCGTCACTTTTTGCGCCTGCATCACTTTAATGAATGGTATCATTGGTAACTTACTTACTACTAGATACACTTTGTAAACTATCAAATCTACCGAGTAGGATTTAGAATAGATAACCAAGGCTACTTACTCCGTTGTTACTCGGGAAGGGAATTAATAATCTTCTTCCCTAGTCAAAAGTCAAGTCAAGACAAGACAAAAAAGCAAGACAAGACTATTCAGTACAGTAGTAGTAACCGAAGTGGATTCGAGGAATTTTCCATTCCTTTCCTTCTCCCCCCTTCTTAGCCGCTAATCTAACGGTCAGTCACCACGAACTGCTTGCTGACCCCCTTAGTTAAAGGGGAGTAAAAACTGCCGGTAGGTAGACAAGACACACTACGTAAGTACCAGTCCTAAACAGTCTGACCGGCCAGAGTCCTCCCGCCCCAGGGGTCTTTGGTCTGGTCCCGTCCGGCTGGCTGGCCTGCCTCTCTCTGCCTCTGCCTCCCTCATGTCTGTCTCTGCCGACGACGCAGGTCGTGCAGTCGATTATTGGAGGGAGTTGCAGTCAGAGTGACTTACTTTGATTCCCGGCCGTCCTGTCCGGTGCTGGATTTGAAGCATTTCCCGCCCATGCCATCTGACACTTAATTTACTATCCACCCAGTAACATGACCTTTTGCTCGTATTGCACCTGATGACTGATAGACGGACTGACTGACTGACTGATTGAGATGAGATACATTTGGGACTTTTTGAATTGATGCCTCAGTCAACCAACAATTCAGTACAATTCAAGAGAATAGACGATGGATTCATATCGCTACCCGTGCAAGATGCTATATTAAGATTGCTTGTTGTTGAGGGTGAGTAAGCTCTCCTCAACCATGGACCCGGGCTTCTCTTTCCGTTCTGGCCGCGGGTCTTTTCATGGGCGAGAGAAAAGTTGGTGAGAAAAGCTGGGTCTGAGATTGAAGTAACCTGGCCGTTCGGCAGCGTTACGGTGGAGGCGGTTTGGTCAGTCGGTCACTTCTTACTGGTTGGCTGGTTGGTCTCCTCTTTTTTTTTTTTTTTTTTTATCCTTTCCCTCTGACCTCTTCTTTTTTTCTTGTCCGTCTTCTTAATTCTTTTTTATTTTTTTATTTTTATTTCCTTTTTTCAACTTCTTTTTCCCTCCCCTCTGCCCTTTCTTCCTTCATCCTTCCCTTCCTCTTTTTTAATTTAATTTATTTCTCTTTTTTGTTTTTCTCTTTTTGATTTCAGGTTCCCTCTTTCATCCTAAACATGCCTTAGTCAACTCCTCCACCCTCTCCCAAGGACGGCCGTTCCATCATCATCACTGGGTACTCCCCCTCTCCTCTAGCTGGGCTCTAATGGAAAATAGTAGGGAAAACTCTGAAAACTCTAAACAACCCTCCAACCCCATGAGGTGTACTCCGTGGAAAGCCGTAGTTAACTCACTACTAAGGATGTTACTAGTCTAGTAGTTACTTGGGACTGCTTCACTCGGGTGTTGCGGCTGGCATTCTGTTTGGTCTGACAGTGGTGTGTACCCTGTCCCCATTCATCACTACGATCGTTCTGGTAACTTCCTCCCTTTCCCTTTCGATCGTGGTGGTTGCGATTCAAATCGGTACCTGGTCTGCGTCATAATAAAGGAAGAGAAATCCTTTTTTGCCTCATTCCCTCATAGGCAGATGCCACTGATCTTAATAATAATGTTTAATATTAATGATGTAAAATCTGGCTACGATTTTTATTCACTTTGGGGGGGAAAAAAGATTAAAAATATTCTCGAGGGAAATTTTATTGCTGTTAAACCTGATACATTTCCCTTACACTGACCTGGCCATGGGTCCATTCCGATGGTCTCGTTCCCCTAACGGAGGACTTGCCGGGAGGATCATGGACAGGAGATAAAAAAAATATTAATGATAATTAAAAATAACAAAAAAAGAAGGATGGGTAGGGGGCATAGGTTACTTTACAATGTAGTTATCTTTTTTTTACTGTTTAAAGTTACAGTATAACAATGAGAATAGAACAGGGAAAAGGAATAGAAAGGGAATATCCCATCCATTGCTCGGATAGGTAGAACAGGGCATGATATGGTGAACAGGCAGAGAAGGCTACATAATCAATGGCAGGGAACCCAGTGGATGTTGTGAAGGATCACGACTCGAATAATACTAGACAGACCCAACCTAGCCAGACACGACACAGAGAGACTAGAGAGACAAGAACCAGAGGGTGTATTGGTGTTACTCGTTAGTCAGAAGAGCAGCGAAGAAGAAGTGAGCCGGGGATCGTCACCTCCTCAACCCTCACTAGACTAGACTCTCTCTGACACCTCGGACCACTAAGCAGCCGCTCTCCCCTTCGTTTTTTCTCGTCGGGTCTCCTGCTTTGGCTTGTGGCTCTCTCTCTCGCCTTGCCTTTCCACCTCTCGTTCTCCGTCTCTCTTCTCTTCTCCATCCTCTCCCACTCACTCCCCCCTCTCCCTCTTCCCCTTCTCTAACCTACTTCTCCAATCCTCTTCCCCCCTCTCTACACCTTCTCTCACCATCTTCGCTTTTTGCTCTTGCAACTTTACACCTTCCTCAATCCCCTCTCCCTCCCCCTTTGCTCTCTCCATCTTCTCCTCCCTTATACCCCAACGAGCTTTTCACTAAGTGTCGTTGTCGCTGTGGATCGGGGCTAATTCCCACCAAACGCGAGAACTTGTTTTGCTCTAATTTTTTTTTCTCATCCTTGACCTACACAAAATTATAAAAAAAGAAGAAAGGAGAAAAAAAAGAAAGAATCTCAACGTTTCTCGCCTGTTGCCTCCCTCCACTACATCATCCTTTGCTGCTTGCTATTCATTGTTGAGCGTCCCCACGCGTCTCCGGTGATTACCGTCAAACTCCGTCCCTTTTCGCCTCCGTCCTCGACAGCCTCGTGTTCGATCAATTGCCCGCCTTACAACACCGGAAGTAAAAAACCAAAAAGGGATCACCAGACTCGTGCCGCTACAGGACCGCTCCTCCCCCGGCAAGGAAGAACTTCCCGAAGAGACATCTTAGTCGCGACCGCTCCGTCCGCTCCTTTCGACATTCGTGCCGTGGAATTGTTCCTCCATGTTATTCAACTAAGAAGCATTCACTACGAAATTATCTAGAGCCGCGGCTCGTTGAGCATTTGCTCTACCCCCCCAGGATCAGGGCGTGGCGAACGTGTAGACGGTTCGTATCTTGTGTTTTTTACTTGGTGTTTCACTCAATTTGCTCTTTGGGATTGCCCTTCGTCCCATTGAAACCCAATTTGCTGACTCGGGATCTTGTCCGTTGTTACAGCCTCAGACCGTCTACCTTCCCGCTCTGAACTGGTTCTTTTGCTTTTTCTTTTATTTTCATTATGCCGTCTTTCTTCGCTCCCGGCCTCCAGGGCCTTCCTCCTACTCCTCCCCATATCTTGAGCGGTGGCAGGATGGAACACGATCAACCCTTCTACCTCCTCGGTCCCTCGGCCGCATTCCCGCCTCGCTACCCCCAGAACGGCTGTGATTTCATTGAGCAGTACTCCCAGTCGACCTGCTACTCCAAGCCCATGAACTCGCAGTCCGCTCTGGGCGTCCGCAATGGCCGGGATATGGTCGCCGCTCACTCCGCGCTCAACCAGCCCATGTTCGGTCCTCTGGGTACCGCCAACGTCTTGCCTCCCATCCGCAACAACGTTCAGTTGCCCCCGATGGAGAGTGCCATCCCGCCCCAATACCGACGCCAAGAGATGATGGTGCAGCCCGAACCCCAGCGCAAGGAGGAAAAGGCCACTGGAGGTGTCGCCGCCCACTTGGATTATGAGATGGATCAGATGTCCGACTTTGTGGCTGAGATGGCCCAGGGAATGTATGCTTTGTACATCACCAAGATCAACCTAGCAGATATTGACTTAGCGCGAAGCGTCTACCCAGGATCGTCGGTCCCCCCTCAGTTCCGGAAATACGTCTACCAGATTTTGTCGTCCACTCGTCTCCCGAGCTCCACCATCCTTCTGGGACTCTACTACCTAGCCAGCAGGATGCGCATGCTTTCTTCCACCAAGGTGTTCCACACCGGCAGTGGCCAGGTCTACCGCATGCTCACCGTGGCCCTCCTTCTGGGAAGCAAGTTCTTGGACGACAACACCTTCCAGAACAAGTCCTGGGCCGAAGTTAGCAACATCCCTGTGAGCGAGCTGAACTCGATGGAGCTCGACTGGCTGTTTGCCTTTGAGTGGAAGATTCACGACCGGATCTACGATCAACAGGATGGCTTTGCGTCATGGTTGTCTCACTGGGAAACCTGGCGTACTAAGACCGTTGCTCGGGCGCAAGAGTCTCGCCATGCTTTGGCTCCCATCGACACGAATGTCTCCCGCAGCCACCGCGTGTCGAAGCCTTTGCTCTCGCCCGAAGGGCCGATCCCACCCCAGTACCAGCGCAGCACTAGCTATGAAACCTCGTGGCTGAACCCTGCCGCGTCGGAGTATTCGCCGCCCTCTGCACCTCACACGGGACCGAACACTCCGGACTACTACGCAGCTGGGCCGTGGTACACGCAGCCTCCCCCGCCATACTCGCGTACCTGGGTTCCTCCGCCCCAGCAGTACATTCCACCGGCCCCTCGCTCCCAGCCTCCGTCCTACCACCACACCCCCGCATATGCGTTACCTTTCGCGCAGAGCGTGTGGACGGGCCACGGGTCATCCTGTGGTTGCCTGTATTGTGCCAAGCATATGGAGCACTACATGTGTGCGAACCCGTTTGGCTCGATGCAACCGATCGTGGCTGGTTAGTCAGGGGCTCCGCCATCTAATCATCTCTCTGACAGAGTCCACTGGAGAAACGTGTTTCCTTCGATCCTGTTCTTCACTTCGTTCTAGACCTGTCCAGGTTGTCCTTGTTTGTCTCTTTCCGTTATTACTGATGATACCGTGTTTCCTTCGTGTTTCTGCATGACTACCCGTTTTCTTTGGTCAGTTTCGGTTACGTCTGTGTTTCGCTGAAAAGTACCATCGGTCGCCTTTTCCCTCCGATTCTTTTTGTCTTTCATGCTTTCCGAAAAGCAAAAACTCCCAAAAAAAGTGTCCGACCGGTTGCGCATTTTCTGCACGATGTGACACTATCTTCCTTTCTTCTTTACTCTGCCTTTCACTTTCCTATCTCGATACGATTTGTTTCTTACGAAACACTCCTCTCATCGTGTCGAAAAGTTCTTCCAAGAGATTCCTTGCGCTGAAGCTCTGGAGTCAGATGTCACGACAATTACGATTGTTTCTCTCTGCGTTTTCGCCTGTGCTTCGCCGTTGCCTTCTCCATCCTCCCTCTTTGACCTGTTCGATCTTTCCTCATTTTCTCTGGATTTGGGCATTTCATCTGGCGACTGTTACTCATAGATTGTGTTGTGTTCCTTGACGCTTGTCAAGTTGGTACATTTGGCTTTCTTCTCACGCACGCTCCACTTGAGTCCCGTGGCGTTAATACCTTGTCTTTTTTTGTTCGGTTGCCTTTAATCTGTTTCTTTTTCTCTTCTTTCTTCTCATACTCGTCTGTTCCGGTCGACAGATCCTCTTTTACTTTTCGTGATGCGACCAGAGTACATTACTGCAGCTTCGTGTTTGTGGAGGTGCGCTCTCGGTTGTAACATAACCATTATTTGTTCGCTTTACCTTCGATGACCTTTTTCCATTTTGCATGTTTGTTTATTCCGCCCGACCCTCAAACCATTGGTGAGGCATTTGAAAAGTGATACTCCCCTTATGCCCCTTGTTTTACATTTACTCTTTTGTCTTGTCTTATTCCCCTCCCGGTGATTATAGCACCCTCTTGTGTGGCTTCCTTTTTTTATTCTTTCTCACTGCTCATTCCCTGAATGTAAGTTAGATTCTTTCACTACTTTTCTATTACCATTCACAAGAAATATGGGACAAAGACATTTCGAGCTTCCCTTACCAAAAAAAAGCACAGGGATCCCATTTGATATATACTGCTCTCCATTATGCCTTCCCAAGTAACTACTGTATATGTAAAACCTCTTGTCACATTTCTTCTTTTACTGCCACCTTTCTTTCATGTTGAGGAAAGGTGCATTTTCACTGATCTTCGAACTAACTAGTCGCCCCCACCGTCTTTTTGAAACCTTCAAAGAAAAACAAAACAAAGATCTTGTTAATGAACTTCTTTCTATTTCACAGCAAAGCACCAAATAAAAAGCACAATGATACCCATAACGAAGAAATGACAAAATTGTATTGACATCTGTCCTTTGATTCTCTGCAGATAATAGTAGTAGTAGTAGTAGTAGTAGTAGTAGTAGTAGTAGTAGTAGTAGTAGTAGTAGTAGTAATCACTAGGTAAATAACTAGGAACTAGAATCCAAAAGAAATATAGAAAGAAACCATTGACAAGGGGTAGTATCTATCTATATCTATCTACCCAATCGTGAATGAATTTTCTGCGACTAAAAAGAAGAAGAAGAAGAAGAAAAAAAAAAAAAGTTAAATGGAATGAAGATTGGTTACTGGAATATATAGTCATATGTATTTGTAATAAATGGATTCATCTCTAATTGTGCGTGGGGGGTATCTGTAGATAGATAGATAGATAGATGTATGTACATGCGCATTCGTTCATTGGGAATGAATGGGTGATGATGATGTGGGTGCATGTCCCTGACGTGAGTTTGATACATCATGGGGGAAGAAGGGAATAAATAGCCCTCAGGCGATGGAGGTAGAGAGAATGTTATGACGAGGTCGTAGGTACGTAAGTATGGATATGGATGGTGTACGTTGTAGTAGGAGTAAGTACTAGGTGTGATTCTATGTACGGCGGTGATGTGAGGAAGGGTGGGAGGTCGGTAGGTTAGGTTAGGTTGATTGTCTTGTATGTTTGCTTGTATATGGGTATAGAAGAAAAAAAAAAAAAAAAAAAGAATTTGCCCGTAGACCTGTGCTAGTATACACTCCCCCTTATGCTCTGGTCATGTTTTCTTTCAGCTTCGAAAGAGGCGTCTTCTTCGTTGTAATCGTCCCCTTCATCGTCGCCGTGATGGTGATAGTGTTCATGGTCGTGATCATCGTATTGATTGTTTTCACGGTTGTGTTCGTCCACTTGCTGGTGCTCGGCTTTCGAAGTTGGAGGATCTGTGGGGAAAGGTTCATCATCTATTCTGTCTTGGCCTGCTCGATCCTGGTTGAGGGCGTTGGCGACTTGCTTGCTCAGGGTTTGGCGTGCTAGGCCCGGAGGGTTTCGGACATGGTGGCTGTGGGATCGGGTACGTCGGGGTCGCGCAGCCTGCTTGGAACTGCTTTCGTCGTCGCCGTCGTTATCTAGGTCTTGGGATGGTCTAACTTGATGGGCAGAGGGGGTCGGTTTAGGGCGGGAGTGAGTCTGTTTGTGGTTATGGGTATAAGCGTGCATGTTGGGGCGAGGCTTCTCTTCGCGTTCGTCCTCCGACGGGGCGAGGCTGTTTGCGCCGCTCATGGAACCGCCACCGTCGCGGCCAACGAGATGGATGTAAGCGTAGTTGCAGTTCGGAGGATGGAGAAGGTGGTCTTCGCTGTCACGGTGGAGATGAGCGAGGCCAGGGCGGCGGGGTATCGGGCTGGGGTTTGAGGTTGGTTGGCTCAGGTGACTGATAGTGGTGGTGGATGCCACGGGTGTCGGAAAATTTGCTTGAGAAGTGGACGTGGTTTCAAGCTGTACACCTTCGAACTCGTATTGCGGAGCTGGGGAAGGCAAGGTCCTTTCAAGAGGCCTTGCATCGATAGAACGATCTCCCAAAGCTGGCTCCGGGGCTCTGAGCATCTGCTGGTCAACCGGAGTGGCTGTCCCCGTTCCAGCCGGCACTGGTCTTGGGTGGCCGTTTTGGTTCCCGTGAGATCTGTGGTTGTGGGTAGCATTGTGTGTTGTTGTCTCCCTCGGCTGAGGGTCATGCTGATGCTTTGGATGGTCTACGTTGTGTGCACGGGGCGTACGTAGAGAACTTCGTCTTCGGACGCCGTGATTGCATCCATCAGGACAGCCACCCCATTTGCGACGGATAGGGACTGACGTCTCTGGTGGTGCTGGCTGCACTGGATCCAGTCCTTTGGCTGCCCGCTCACGCTGCCGCTCTTCCTCTTTCTCCTTCCGCAGGTCGGACCAGGTACGTAGCTGATTCTGGAGGACGTATTTCCCGTTGTCTGGGTTGAGTTTCAGAATGACGAATTCGCAGTGATTGATGTTGCGGAGATCTTCGAAGTATTCCACGCTCCAATGGTACCATTTCATGAGGAAAACCCGCGTCATCAATCCATGCGTGACGAGCACGCAGACACTGGCGAAGTCGTCCTCTCCGAACAGACGCCACAGCGACTCGTTGAACCCACTGACGCGGTCGTAGGCGTCGGCAGCAGATTCACCGTTGGGAATTCGGTAGAAGAAGTGACCATAGTCTGCCCTTTCGAGCCACATACGCTCCATTTCGGCTGAACATGGTTGGAAGTTCCCGAAGTCCTGCTCCCGCAGCCGGGGTTCCTCGTAGACCTTGATGGTATGTCTTGGGAAAGGGGACGGGGCCGGAGAATCTGAGGACAGGGACTGCAGGATACCCTCCGTTGTCTCTCGGGTGCGACGGTATGGGGAGGTGAAGAAATGAATGGTATCATCCGGTCGTAGAAGGGTACGCAGACGGGAGCCAGCTTCCTGCGCCTGACGGTGTCCTTCGGGGGTGAGTTTCACTCGGTGGTCGGGGATAGTCTGATGGATTTCTCGGTTCTTGTTTCCTTCCGATTGGGCATGGCGGATCAAGATGATCATCTGCCAGAGTGAGACATTGTACTGAAAACAGTGATAGTTTCGGGGGGGAGGAATAACTGACCCGCGGCTTGCCCATGATTACTTACTAGACATCTACTGTTGCATGCAGAAGTAGTTGGGTGGAAGTGGGGTTGAGGGGAAAAAGCAAGCGCTACGATGCTAGATCAGTAAGACAGGCCCACCGCGATAACGACCTGATGTATGTATGTAGGCTAGCGATCAGGTTACTGAAGCACAAAACACATAGGCCAGCAAGATGTAGTGATGGAATAGAGGATGCGACCGCGAAAAGAAGAAGAAATGAAAGAGGGATGAGGCGAGTCAGTGACTTGGGACTCGAAAGGAGGAGAGAAAAGAGGAGAGATGATTGCGGAGTAGGGGAGAATTGCCAAATCCAGCACTGCTATTGGCCCCAGGCATCTAGAAATCGCCCGATCAGGTTAGCACAGCGCATGATGTCAGTCGGCGCTGGTCGGGTTTGTTACCGTTTGGTATCACGTATTACCATCTCGATTGCCGGCTTGTAATCAAAAGGGTACATCCTTCCATAGCATCTCTCACATAGTAATGGTTTAGGAATCCCCGTTCCTTACGGTCCTTGATTAGCTTTATATAATTGAATAAATTGAGGTAGTCCTAAAATAAAATCATGTACCTTCTCATATGTGACCTCAATACAGTATCTATCTAGCACCTAGCTTATCCAGAAAAAAAAAGAGAGGGATGGCCCTTCGCCAGTTGTCGCCGAGGCCGCCGTACGGAGCAGTAGTAAGTGGTTCGGCACTGCTAAATCTGGCCTTGTTTCGCCCTCCTGCTCATCATCGCCCGCTTCCACGCTCCCCAATACCCTCCATTGCCGACCATCCCGGCTTTCACCAACGAAGAAGCCGACTCTCACGATGGCCGATTATCTATATGATCTTCTAGCCCCTCATCTGGCCTCGACGAAGGCTGCCACCGCCCTCTCCGATCCGGATCGCGATACAACCACCACTCAATACCTGAATCGTCTCCCTACGCTCTCCCTCCAAGCATTACAGTCCACGGAACCTCAATCCCTAATTCAGTCCTCTCATTCTACCCTTCTGTCCCTGCAAGCTCTGTCGAATCGCTCCCACAAGGCCTTCGTCACCTCCGCAGATGGCCTGTCCAATCTCCGCGCGTCCATCCCCCAGTTGGCCCGGAACGCACAGCAACTGCGGGATGCGGTCCCGAAACTCGATGAAGAGGCAGTCCGATTCTCGTCCAAATACAGCCGAGCAGCGGAGAATGTCGCTCTGGAGCAACGGAAGAAGGTGATGCAGCTGGCGCGGAACGTCGACCGGCTGTCCGATATCCTCGAGCTTCCCACGCTGCTCGCAACAGCTGTCTCTTCCGCGGCCGCTAATTCGGCAACGACGGGCAGCTCGGTCTCCACGACGTACTCTACGGCATTGGATCTGTACGCGCATATCAAGCGCTTACAGACACTCTATCCCGATTCGCCGCTCATCAAAGATGTAGTCTCCCAGGCCGAGGATGCTATGAAGGACATGACGTCGAATCTGATCGCAGGTCTTCGGGCACAGAACTTGCGACTAGCAGCTGCTATGAGGACGGTGGGTTGGCTGCGTAGGGTGGCACCGGAACTGGATAACCTCCACCACGAAGGATCACCGGCTGCGGCGGAGGGCGCATTGGGGGCTATTTTCTTGATCTGCAGGCTGGCGAATTTGATCACGATGCTAGAAGCTCTGGATCCTCTACGGGAGCTGGCCGATCAGGAGACACAGCGCAGGGCTCCAAAAACAGACAAGAAGAATGGGGCGACGGGGACCTGGTCCGAAGGACACCAGACGGAGAAGTATCTGAAACGGTATATCGAGATCTTTCGCGAGCAGAGCTTTGCAATCGTCTCTCTCTACAAGAACATCTTCACTCCAGATCAATCGGAGTCAGAGCTCGCCGTGACCGGCTTACGGGGCATCGATGCGCGGATCAAAGCTGCGGCATCGCGACCCTCTCACCCAGAGGATCCACTCCAGTGTCTTCCACCGGCACTTGCTACCTTCCCAATGCACCTAATACAACTGTTGACGGACACCTTGCGCACCTATCTCCCCAACGTCCGGGATAAAAGCTCCCGAGAGAGTCTCCTGACCCAGGTCTTGTACTGTGCTGCCAGCTTGGGTCGACTGGGTGGTGATTTTGGCATGATTCTGACCGAGCTCAGCGAGGCAGCAGATGAGGAGCAAGAGGACGACGATGCCGATGACGATGACTTGGCCTATGAATGGGAGGAAGTGACTCGGAAACACAGAGCCTTGGCAGGACGCTTAGAGCAGCTGACAGGAGGTGCAACTCCCGGGTCCTCGGCCAAAGGACATTCGTCGCGACAAGCCTTGCCCATGCAAGGAGATATTTGAGTGGTAGATGCCCTAAAGAATCTTTCACCACTTCTTCCACAGGCTGTGCAAAGTGCTATTCTTGGAGACGGCATTTGCTTTGGCTCGTCCCTTTCAAAAGGGGAAGTTCGGGCCTCCCCGGGCGGCACTAACCGGATGGAGCAAGGCCTCCGCCCGGGTTGCTGGTCCGGCCGTCATCTCATCTCATCCTCCCTCCTCACCTCTCCTTCTCCCTCAAGACTTGCTTTCGGCAACATCCTTGGTCTACTTTCCCCCATTTTTCTCTGTATCTTTTCCTGGGGATATTCTTACACAAATTTCCCTTATATATATACATCCCTGGTTTCTTAGTGCTTCGACACAGCCGTTGCTTCATGATCGGTGCTGGCTTGCCGGTCGCATTGGCCCCTTCGATTGCCGCCGCCGCTGCTGCTGCTGTGTGACGTTCTCCCTTGCGTACAGGGCCTGCTGGCGTTTTAGACACCGCATTCTTCTCAGCAATGAAGATTTCTCTCTGAAAGCGTGCACTAAAGCTATCTGAAGAATAGCGGCCGTTCCTCTGCAATATATCCTCTCTAACCCTGACCCTGCAACTCGTCTGGATGGCGGCCCCCGCTTTGTCTACCGGCGGGTTGATCGACCCGACCAAACAGGCTGAGTATCCCATCGTGCTGGGTGATCGACTCAATGGTAAATCTAGCTCGCCACAGTCGCAGCTGGTCAATATCCAATATAACTATAAGACCAAGTCAGCGACCGCACGGCAACGCATCACCCGAGCCCGACAGTCCCGCGATCGCTACAACCTCACAATCACCGATAAAGCGCCCAACGCCGATAACGTCCTGACCTATTCATACCAAGGCAGTGTCGACCCAACACAAGCTGTCTCGGATGCTGGGGAACATAATTTGGTGCTAGTCTTTGACGCAGCGCGGAAAGTGTTTGTCTTGGAGCCGGTTTCAACGCAGCTGAACTTCAACCTCCGGTCTGCTCCGGCCAAATCCCAGAAGCAGGTGCTAGAGCAATATGAGCAGCTACGCACTTTGCAGGAAGAGGACCATGGGTCGGGTGATGATCGGGGCATGGACAATGCCAGCGGTAATGATGATGGCCCTGCTGACGACAGCAATCCCTATGACTACCGGCACTTCCTCCCCAAGGAGAATGCGGACGATGACAAGTCGGGCTCGGACAAGACACCAGAACCCCCCTCCTACACCAGCAAGCTCGATACTCCGTTGATGTCCGCTACCAGATCCATTCCTAGCCCTCAACCACCCCCGGAGAGCCGGACGAAGCCTGTAAACGCAAAGAAGAAGAAGCCAGACGGGGTCAAGCCTCCTAAAACGGTGGCTGCTCGGCCACCGCCCAGGTCTCCGCCCCGTCCTGTGCACCCAAGGGAAGAGCGGAAGGCAGAGGTCGAGGAGGAGCCTTCAGTGGAGACATTTAATTCCTCGCCGTCCGACACGGGTCTGGGTGCTGTCTCTTCTCAAAAGGCAGTTCCATCACCGGGCTCGAATATCATCATCGACGGCGATCTCATCATTGATATGGGCTCTCCGCCGCCTGCTCGTCCCTTCCGGGTCAATCCCGCATACTTCTCTTCGAACAACACCCCGGCGGATGAGGAAGGGCATCGGGATGAGGACGAGGACCAGGAGGAGGATGAGGATATTGAGGACCTACGGCTCCCCTCTCCGGCTGGCCACGGAGGAGCGCCGGTGGCCTCGAGCGGCCTAAACCTGGAGCCCGGGTTGGATGAGGAGGAGCTGGAGGTTGATGATGATCCTCTCGCGGCGGAGATGGAGGCGGCGTTTGAGGAGGATGTACAGGAAGACGACCGGAGTCAGCCAGTTCCCACGCAAGCGGTGTCGCAGCAGTATCATATGGCCAGTGAGGATGAGAGCGAAGTCAGTGAGGAGGAATAAGGGGATGGAAGGGTCTACCGTGTAGCATGTTTGCTAATATCTCTCGTATTTCTCTTTGGGGGCATGGTTCCCCCGTGTTTGCGTATATACCAGCAAAGCAAGGCGCCATTCGGAGTTTTAATCACGGGCAAGGTTCAGACTACCAGGGAACTTCGTCGTATAATATGATAACAGCAATAACAATGACAATAACACTAATAATAGCCATGAAAATGATAATGATAATACGCCAAAAATATAGATGTGAATCTCTCCGAAAAGCGAAGCGACGATCCCTGGGGCCCGGAACAACGGGATGATCCGAAAAGCCGGCGGTCATTGGCTGGGCGGTCAGTCGCCAAAAAGTGCCACAGCAAAAGGAAAAGGAAAGTCCCAAGTGAGAAAGGAGTCTCTCTCTCTCTTCCACTTGCTCTCTCTCTCTGTTGCACTCAGAACTAGCTGCCTCCCATCGCTCTCCTCTCCCTCTATTTTCGGATCTTCTGCCCGTCTCCACCAGCTTCTCTGACAACTGTGACTTCCCAATCCTCCTCACCTGGTCTACGGACATCCTGTGGGTGCGATTGGCTTCCCGAATCACCGGCTTCCGATGCATGCGATGCAGTGGCCTCTCCCGCGATGATTAACACGCCTCGGTAATCTCAGGACTCTGGGTGATCGGAACTAAAGTAGGACAAACTACAGACTTGCAGGAGGCCGTTTCACTGCGCTGGTCCCAGCTGGCCCTTTGTGCGCGATCAGTTCGTCTGAGTGGATCCCTCTGTTGTCTCTTTCACTTTGGCCCCGGGTCGACGCGAGCTCCTAGGCCTTCCTCTGTTCTCACTGGCAGCTTTGCTTTCTTCCAAGTTCGCTGGGGATAGTAGAGTCTCACACAGCTCGCCACCAAAGACTCAAACCTCCAAGTTCATCGCTTCCGCTTCCACCTGTCCCCGATGGCGTCTTCCGCAGCCCATCCTTCCGAACTCCCGCCGGTTCCTGCCCCGTCGAATCCCGTCCTCCTTGCAACCCAGGCGCATTGGATATTTACAGATGAGGAGCTTACACGGACGCCATCGCAGCTAGATGGCATGGCTCTGGAGGCCGAGCATATGAGCCGCAGCAAAGGTGTCAACTTTATTAACCAGGTAGGAATTATGCTGAAGCTACCGCAACTTACGCTCGCAACGGCCGCCGTTTATTTGCACCGATTCTATATGCGACACAGTATGGTCGACTTACCTCAACGACCGGGCATTCATCCTTACACGACAGCCGCGGCGGCTCTGTTTCTGGCTACAAAGGTGGAGGAGAACGTACGGCGGATGAAAGAGTTGGTGGTAGCATGCTGCCGGGTGGGACAGAAGCAGCCGAACATGGTGGTTGATGAACAATCTAAGGAATTTTGGCGCTGGCGCGATACTATTCTGGTGCACGAAGATGTTCTATTGGAAGCGCTTTGTTTCGATCTGCAGCTCGAGCAACCGTATCGCATCCTCTATGACTTCATTTGCTTCTTCCGCATGCAAGACAACAAGCCGCTCCGTAACGTCGCATGGGCCTTCGTCAATGATTCCGGATACACGGTGCTGTGCCTGCAGTTTACCGCCCGCATCATTGCGGCCGCCGCACTATACGCGGCGGCCCAGCACTGTGACATTGGTTTTGAAGACGATGTGCTGGGCCGGCCGTGGTGGGAACAGCTTGAGGTGGACTTGACCCAGGTGCGTCGCGCGTGTATGCGCATGGCAAAGCTGTATGAGAACAACGCCGCGCATCGAAACGGCCTGTACTACTTGACCAACCCCATCAGCACAGACGAGGGTACTGAGAAGACCAGGATCCCGCGCGTGGATGGCCCGGCGGACAACACGACACGTCCGATCCATTCCGGGCATGAGGCAGACGCTGTCAACGGTCGGAAGCGCTCGCGGGAACCCGACGATGAAACGAAGCCCCCACGCCCTTTGGCTGACTCGATACCCCCGTCAGAGGCAGGGCCAGCGACGCAGAACGGGGCCCCATCCCCAAAACGACCCCGGAGGGACTCGGTAGGAGCATCGGCTGACCGAGTCCCGTCATCTCGTATTCCCAAGGCGCCCCTCCCCAGCGGCGGGCCGGCCTTCTCCCACGACCGCCCTTCTGCGAACGGGCACCCCCCTCCAGCACATCATTCGCACCCGTACCCCGCGACCAGACACCCGCATCCCTTACCACCGCCTCCCCGGCCTCACCCTCAACGGGACAGCGGCAGCCGCCCCGGGAGTGGACCTCCGGGGCTACCTGTCGATCCGATTCAGCAACGGATTGACGAGATCGTGCAACAGAACATGCCCACCCAGGGCGGGGGGGCCGGCAGGGCGGAGCGACGGCCTCAGGAACGGCATCGGGGCGATTGGGAGGGGGAGGCCGACTCGGGGCGACGACGACGACCGTCCATGTCCACAGGAGGCCAGCCACTGTTGCAGGAGGATGCGCATCTACATCCACCACCTCAGCGTCTCCCGCCGCCGCCACCTCCGGAAGAGGAATCTTGTCCGCCGTCGCAACCCGAGCCGCCTCAGGTCCCGGAACCGGAGGACGAGGGAGGTGGCAGCGAGGAGGGCGAGCTATGATGGTTTCACCTTTGAATGAGGAGACGAACGAGCCCATTCATGAAAGATGGGGCCTGACACCTACATACATAATTATTTCGGCAGGGGGCGTCGGAAAATGCACCCGACACATTCCTCATTATCCTCCGATGAGGACTGGGAGGCTGAGCGCATCTGCAAGGGCACGAACACCTCCACAGAGTGAGAGACACATACAGAGACACAGAGAGACGAGGGGACGAAGATGAAATAAACTCTTGAGGGAGATAAGAAATGATAAGGGGGTAGGATTGAGCTCCAGGAAACACGCCAGATCTGTAGTTAATCTATATCTTCTACCGTTGAATTTAGAGCGATCATCGTGGACAGAAGCCCTTGATCACAATTTCCATCTCCGGAGGGCTACCCGGGCTGGCCTATGACAGGGGAGCAACCATGGTTGCGCAACAACCCCCTTGCAGCCGGACTTGCCGTCAAGGTCCCAATGGGATGGCTCCGACAACCCAAGGCGAGTCAAGCAACACTGCAGGTGGACTTTTGGCATTTGGCAAGAGACATACCGGCCGGATTCTTTGTCCGCCGTGGCTGGCTGAAGCCTAGCAGCGCCCACTGGACTCTCTTATGTGCTGTTGGGAATGCTTGACATCACGACCCGCCCTGCGTCTTGGGAATCAAAGTTCATGGAGAGAATGTCGGCTTGGCCACCCAGCCAACAAAACCCTCTTGCCATCATCTTCTTTCTTCGGGCGAACGAGAAACTTTCGAGCTGCCCGTCCGTCAGCGTCAGTTGAACTAGCCAATGGGCACCCCGTTATGGCCACATCGCTCCCCTGTCGAAGCCAAGATGCACCCGGCTCCTGCGACGACGGACCGGCGACGCAGCTGTCGCTTTTGCCGCAGTCGCAAGCTCCGCTGCTCAGGCGCCAGCGTCTGTAGCGCCTGCAAGGATCGCCAGATTGAATGTGTCTATGATCAGGGCGGCCCGAAAGGTCGTCCCCGGGTCACTGGGGCGCGCACCACCGGCCGCCTGGTAGCTGGCCAGCCGGGGCCCGAGCCCACCATGAAACAGGCTCCGTGGACATCCCCTTCGAGTCCGTCGTCCGCCGCGGCCGGTCAGCTCTACTCGCCGCGTCTCAAGAGCGTTGCCGATGCTCTTTCCGAGGTGACGGCCGAAATTCAGGAGAAGCTACAAGGTCAAAGGGTTGATGGGATGCCATGGAGCCAGACCGGTTCTCCTCGCCAGCAGCCGGCTAAGCTGGGCTGTCGTGAGCTCATCATGATACTGACCCAGGATATTATCGACGCTACAGTGTCCCGTTTCAGCGGACTCGACTGCCTTGCCTTCTTCGCTAACCAGAGCCAATCCTTCCGAGCCAACCTGGCGTCCAGCACTCCCCACGAACCGTCCCCTACGCTCGAACCGGCGCCGCTGACCGCATACAACGGATATCGCATCACCCAGATCCTAGATGTGTGGTTTGGTGCACATCCGTTGTCCATGGCCCTTTCCAAGACGCTGTTGCTGCGTGACGTCCGCAGCAACTCTTACGACCCTCTACTCCTCGCCGTCGTGCTAGGGGGCGGTCTGCAGGAGTTGGAAGATACAGACGCTCAGGTGGAATCCGAGCAACTCCTGCACTGGGCGACTTCTCGCCTACAGTATATTTCGACGGCGGCGGCCGACTTGTCGACCGCGCAGGCGCTGAGCTTGCTGGCCTGGCACGAGACATGTCAGGGAAACATTATCCGAGCAATGTCCTACAGCATCTACGCGAACCGTACCGTAACCCGCCTCACAATGGACACCTTGGCCCGGTCCTCACGCGATGCCCGACAGATCAACGGCGTCGACCTGGTTCAGATCGAGTTGGAGATGATGCACATTCTGGGGTGGATGACTCTCGCATTGATGGTCTGGTATTTTACACACTTCGGGATTGTAGATGACAGTCTGCCAGCGCTCGCGATGATGTATGAGCACCCGCCCATGAACAAGGACGCGTCTTTGGTGTTACGACTTGACAAGGCGGCCGACAACTTTTCCACGCTTCCTCACCAGTGGGCCTGGATCCAGGAAATCTGGACCATCAGCCACATCACCTCCGCGGCTGTTCACCTCAACTCAATCTACCCGCGTCAGGCTAGCGGGCCTACTTCACCCATAGCTCATCCTCACCACTCCTGGCAAAGTCAGCTACACGAGCAATTGCGCAACATCCAGCTCTACAAGGTTGACATTGGCAATTTGTGTAACGAAGCCCGCGCTGTCCTGGCGCGCAACGTGCAGATTATTGAAGCCAACATGGAAGACCAGGTCGCGCAGACACGGATCCTCACCGCGTACCGCACTTTGCTCATCCACCTGCTGTTCCCCCGCATGGAAACCATTCCCGTCACAGCCGATCTCGTCCAGAACCTCGCCGACTGCCTCGCCTTTTTTACCCGCAGCTTTCCCGTTCTCGTCCACGTCTCCACCACTCAGGCGCTCCCTCAATCGAGCATTCAGTCGTGCGTCCACTCCTACATGGCCGGTCTGGCCGCCTGCGGCAGCGCTATCGACGCGCTCTTCCTGATATCACCCAAACAGCTCCAATGCTGGGAACCGGAAATCCTGCAGGGCTTAGCCCGGCTACTTGAGCAAGCGACAAAGCTAGGCACACTCTTCACAGATGACACGCTATTGACAGACTGGCGGTGGCGAAATGTACAAGACCGATTCCATCGGTTATCTAAGTACAAAACGGAGCTGCAAAGCGTACCAACTGGATGGGATGGCCTTCCCATGCCTATCAGGCCGGCGGAGCGACAACTACCATCCTCCTCCCTGCCCACAGTGACCGCGGCGGTGGCGGCAGAGCCGACAGAGCCGGCACCCACACCCATAGTGCCTCTATACACGGCTACTACTGAATTACCGTATGTGCCGGGATACAGCATGCCAGTTGCACCTTCGACGTATGAAGAAACATAGCATTAGACAGTTATCCTTGGGGTTCATGTTACACATGGCATTACGGATGGGACGAAGTGAAACTGGGTAGGACGGAACCAATCGCAGAGGGATTGGTTGGTTCCTTGTGGATACATAATAATCATCATCTTTATTAGGATAAATTATTCTAAATCGAAATGCATATTCTCAATTACATCTATATCGCTTCCTCTAACACATTTCATCTAAACTAGCCTTCCTACCTTCCCAATACCACCAACCTTTTAGTTCTCCCTTCTTTTAAGACATCCGTGACTATTATAGTTAAAACTAAGCAATACTAGTAGAGCAAGGTGAAATCTAGGTTACTTCTTCCTCAGATTTACATGAACCAAGAATTACGTTACCTTATCTGTTCATCCATTCTAGATTCAATGACCATGAAGAAGCACTACTAAACTAAACACTTACAATGAGTTCCGATTTGAGTTGGGAACACAAAAAAAAAAAAGAAAGAAAGAAAGAAAGAAAGAAAGAAAGAAAGAAAGGTATGTAAAGTTTGAAGTTAAACTCAAGTTAAGTAGGTTTAAATCTACTAACCTTATATACATACCCCCTTCTTGACTGGCGGACGTAATGAATGTTCAAGATTTAAAATGAATTCTACTTCAACTTAATATTGCTTTGTATTCCATGCTTCTATGTCATTTATAGTGCCCATGTATTGTATATATATATATATTCACTCACTCTTTCTATAACATTATACTATCACCAATCTATTATAAAATCCGGCTCTTCATTCACACCTCCACATCCCCCAACAACCACCCCCCTTCCCTACTTCCCAAACCCCCCACCAAATGCGCCTCTCCCAACACCCCCTTCACGACCAACACCATCTCATCTACGGTGATCAAAAACCCAAAGTATGCACTCGCAGCCACACAGAACCGTCTATACCCTTCATCGCGCATCATCTCACCCGAGATAACCTGCTCTTCTTGTCCACGACGTCCCCTCGACCAATTATCCACTGCCTGCTTGAACAACGGCGTCGGAAGGATCTCCGGTAACGCGTCGCCCGTTTTCAGGGCCTGTTCGCAGAGACCCATCACCGCCATGACTTGGCCGATGAGGCGGTGGTCCAGGAGTCCCGTCTGCCGGGCTAGTTGCTCTTGAAATTCCTGGGGTAGGGATGAAGAGAGGAGTAGGAGGCGGCTGAGCTGGCGGTTGAGGCTACGGCAGAGGGAGTTCACTTTGGCGAGGGAGGCGCTGTCGAAGCGCGAGCTGGAGAATTCGAAGCCGAGGAGTTTGATGGGTCCGTCGAGTGCGACGAGGGTTTCGGCAAGTTGCAGGGAGAGAGGTTCGGCGAGCCTCCTACCTTCGCTGGAGTTTTGGGCCCAGACGGTGAGGAGGAGGGCGTAGTGCGTGGATAGGGTGCGCATGGCGCGGGAGAGGGTTTTACAGACGTGTCGGGAGGCCGATGGTGGCCGGGGGAGGGTTTGCAGGATGGCGGATGCGGCGACGCCGACGAGGACGAGGAGTAGACGTCGCCAGAAGACGTTGTAGCCTACTCCTGGGTTGCCGTATTGAGGGATGTGGCTGGAAAGTTATTAGTGGGTGGTTTGATGGGTTTGAGGGAAAGCTTACGTATCGTCGTAGCTATACGCGATGACTAGCAGGAATGTGGCTCCACCGATGATACCTCCCTGCATCAGGGCCGGCGGCAGATATAGTCTAATCCAGACAAGGATGACTAGGATTGCGGCGGTGATAGCAGACAGCCCATACGGATTGCCCGGACCATTTGCGGAGCCAATATACCAAGCCAGCAGCCCCAAAACTCCGCCGATGACGGTTCCAATGACTCTTGCGATTAAGGAGAAGGTAAAATCCGCCATGTACACGAGCAGACCCGTCTGCCCCATGATCAGCGCCCAAAGTCCCTTCGCACGGTAGTAGAAACCCGCACTGTGAGGGATCACGCCCGGAATGCCCAGGGCGATCGTGACGACAACCATGCGTATGGCATACAGGCCTTCATCACAGGTAAACCAGTGGTAGGTCCCCAGGATGGCTCGACTGAGAGGAGGACGTGGCTTCGTGCGGAATCCGCGGGTAACACGCAGCTTCTCTTGTGCTGCTTTGGTAATGTCGTCGGCGCTGACGCGATCCGGATCGTCTTCGGTACCCTCGGACCCTGGTGCCTTGACCTCATTCGAAGAGGCCCATGATGCGGCATATCTGAACCGGGTTGGCAGGTAAACGCGGATCTTAGCTGATTCTTGGAAGACCGTAGATACCCGCGCGAGCAGTGCCTCGGTCTTCTGCACGGTGTTGGAAATGTGCTCCTCGAAGACTAAAACGAACATGAGTGGCCGGAAGTGATGGGCTTCGTCAAGCGTCTGTTTTTCGTGTTGTCCGATCAGGATGTCGCTCATTTCATTGATAAAGACCGAACGGGCCTTGCTTAATGCCTCAAGTGCATTCTCACAGCGTTGCTGTAGCTGCTCGCGTTCAGCCTGGGATGGCCTTTTGAACCAACGACGACAGTTGACCAGGTGGATACACTCTTGCACAACACTAAGGCCCTCCGCACAAGCATCTATGGCGGTCGCGCTTGTCTTGACTAGCTCTTGGACGACCTCCTTGCGCAGCGGATGGCTATCCGGGCTGCGAAATCCATCCAGCAGTTGTGCAAGCTGTGTGAGCTGATGCGCGCCAACCTCGCGCGTATGTTTCTCATCCTCGTCCGGGGTCTTATCAACATACTTACGCAGCACATCCTGCGTGCGAGCCTCCCCCACGATCCGGCCAATGTGAAAGTCGAGAAGGGATAAAACTGCAACAAGTACGTCTCGCAAAGGGCCCTGGAAGGAGGCGACATCTTCGGCTCCCCAACAGCCTACAGAAAAGTCCAGAGGCAGGAACGCTAAGGATGGTTCCATGCTTTTATATTTCTGGATGATCCCAGCCTGTGTCATGCGGAGATCGTCGGGATTCGGTTGTTCCTCCTTCTTGCAGAGTGTATTTGCTGTCATTGCTAGTGGAACTTGGAGGAGTCGGACGATATCCTCCATACTATCCAAAACCACATGCGATGTCGATTGAGGAAAGAAGAGGATTGAGCACGCTAGGCCGAGCCCGACCCCAATTGCGGCAGGTTTGACGAGAGTTAGGGGTAAGGTTCCTGAGAAAGAGGGTAAAAGTGGAGTGTAGTTCAGGAATAGATCCGAGATGATAATGCCAAATATAGCCGTCAAAGTTGCTTTGGGATTGCTGGCCCGAAGACGCGCCTGTATATTTAGTATAGCCCATTGCCCTTAATCGGAGAATTACCTACCATGAAGTAAACAAAAGTGCAGATGAGGCAAAACGTCACGGCAGTGACGCGCGCATCCAGCATGTACCCTTCGTAAACCAATCGCTGCGCTATTTCAGTAGCGGAGGAGGTCGAGTTCTGGGCCTGTGACACAGCCGTCTGCTGCAGGGCAGCCACTTTAGCCTGCGTCTCGGCCGCTGGTCTCGCTGCCTGAGCAGCCTTCATGGTGATGACGCCCCATGCCCAAGCCAGACAGATACCGATGAACAAGGACAGCGCACCCAAGAGATAGACGAATACAATTCCGGATGGAGGTAGAAACAATAATACAAGACTAAATCATATTCAGCATATCAATGCGACCCGGGCATTGGGACAGATGCATACGCTGCGAAAAAGGTTGCAGTGCCGATGCTTTCCAGCGAGGGATGGATGAAGATCAACAAACAAGCCACCCAGACGGCGACCCAGCATCGAAAGAAGATCTTGAGATCGCGACCATTGAAATGGTCCAGAAACGGGGGTAACCGGCGTTTCTTCTCAGCAATGGCGGGAGGAGCACTGTCCGAATCCGACCATGTCGGGGGGGATTCCTGCGTGGTTCGTTCGTCGGCCATGATGGCCTCGGGCTGTTTTGCTTGGCTTTAAATGGCCCACGTGGGCATGAGGGCTGGTGGAAGAAAAGAAAGAAGATTTAAAATAAAAAAAAAAAAAAAAAAAAGAGAGAGTCGAGAAAGGGAAGCAAAGAAGCAAGGGATGCAAATAAGGAACGAACGACGGAGACGGAATGAATGCACGAGGGAAGAGGTTGACAGGCCCGGCGTCAATCAAGAGGGGAACCGATTGGCATTATGAAGGCCCTGCGGGCAAATATGTGGCGCCGCAAAAGGAGTGACCATTATCGCAATTAGAGTTAAATAGATCGGTTGATCTGAACCAGGGCCGTTGGTCGTTCCATGGATGGTCCGACGTGTCCGGAAGGTTTTTGCCTGAAGGATTGCCGAGGATGAGCTGGAAAGGAGGTTATGCAGGACCATCTGATGCTGATGCTGATGCCATTCGCGTCCTGTTCCTTCATGACATGACTGCAAATTCTCTGCTCGACAGCATAACAAGGATGGTGGACTTTGCCGAGCGAGTGATCGACAGAGGGTTGGTTCATAGTGACGCCCATGGATTGACACTGATTCAGCGGTGGAGCCGAAACTGGACATGACCCGAATCCGAAGCGAGTCTGGAACTGCAGGAGACCATCCGACGAGTATAGATAGGTCGCTGTGTGGTATGATGGTCGAAACTGCTATCTACCCCAGTTCTCCACTCTTAAGGGTCCATACTATTGTTCCTATTGCACGTGTCTTTAAGCCTGAAGAATAGCAATTAGTGTCTGGATATGTGCTAACCCCTGAATGCCCTTGGTGAACATGACATACCAGACTTAGGTGAAGAGAAACCTGAGAGCTTGATACCAGGATGGGTGCAATGGGTAAGGACGATGAGAAGTTCTTGTGTGCTACAGAGACATACTAAAGGGGGTATGTTTGCGCTGTATGTCTGCTCTGTCTACTGGCGTGATGCCCGACCGTCACTTCTCAACCCTCAAAACTACAGCTGCGCAATTTCAGGAGTACAAGCACAAGACCGAAATTCATATTAGGATTGCTGAAAAACGCTCGTCTTAAGCATCGCACAATCGCTCCGAAAAATATGCACAATGCTTAACCACCAGTCAGGTTCTATTTGTATGCTCTCCGCCAACCAGTTACACCCCGTTCAAACCATCATACCATTATCCAGCAAG